TGTTGGAGGGGAAAAAAAAAAAAGAGGGAAAGATCGAAATTACTTTATAGTAAAAAAAAAATATTCGAGATAAAAGTTGTATGGTATCGATTGATGATAATTATCTTGGGATGATATTTGAAAATTTTGCGATGGTCGCATTTAAATTTTTAAATGGAATCATAAATTTTTTTCACTAGATATTCATATAACTGAAAGTTTTCGAAATGCTAACTACTAATACGTATACGTATTTTGCTGTAAACTGTTGTTGAGTTATTAACTATCGTAACTGACACGTCATAAAATTACTTAACGTGAACAAAAATAAAAAGAAAAAAATTCTACGGTGACCTAAGAGGAATGCTGGATTCGCCATTAATATGCTACGCAACTAAAAGATCTACGTATGCCATCATGTGGCCTCTCCCTTTCGCTTGCCTTTCAATGTTGTAATTTTTAATCACAGCATTCGCGTGAACGATTCCTACGAGAAGGGAATGTGGATTTCGTTATACGGTGAAAGTAAGCGGGTCGTGGACTAACATCGTGGGAATGTCTCATAAAAGGGATGCAATTATTGCATAAACATGTTTTTATCGTAAAAAAACTCGCACTAATCAAAGGTAATGATAACATTCATTGTTACTGTTTACTGAATTAAATATAATATTTTTATATTCATTATCTAATTAAACAAAACGATAAAATAATAAAAAATCAATCATTGAAATATAAATATAATATGTAATCAATATTTTGTACTTATTAAAGTAAGTAGAAGATATTAAAATTAATAAAAATATCATCTGATCTTTGAAATTATTGAAATAAATAATGTGATTTTTTTTTGTTTACTTTTAAAGTTAATAATGTAAAATAAATTTCTGAATATCTAATATTTTTCGATATTATGGACTTATTAGCTATGGACTATAGCTCTACAAAATAATTACAATTAAAAATATTTATGACAATAGATACTTTAAAAATTCCTTAAAAATCGCTACTGAAAGTAAGTAGAGAAAACTTAACTTACCTCCTCATCCGACAATGGTTCCTCGTAATCCGATTGTGAACTCTTGAACACAAAGATGCATTCTGATAGATCTAATTTGCGCGTATTGCCAAACTGTGTTTGTCGATCTATCAATTGTTGCATACAGGTCATTTCTATCATATCTTTTACTTCTCGAATTAAAATTTGGTTAGGAAACTTAATTCTTTTGATTAAAACATTCTGCAATGAAAAGATAAATAAATCATGGATATTAAAATTATATCTACTATTTTTTTATGAAATAATTTATATATACATATTTCTATGAATGAAATTATTTTATAAAATAACGTTATATATATATATACGTTTAAAAATCAAAAGTTACCATATAAAAAAATAAATGATATCATTAGCAGAAGAATTTTCATTCATCATCGAAAGTGTGAGTTTAAATCATTCTATTTCATTCATATAACACTATTACATTGCCAAGTATATAAGTACTTGTGAGTCCATTTATAAATACGAACGAATAAAATCTAATGAATTATCATTTACGTCATGCCAATTTAAGATACACGTGCAAATACTATCTTTTTCCATATACATGTACATATGTAACTCAAACGATGTTTTTTTGATTGATGATTTTATTGTATGTAAATAAAATCATCGAATTGATTAAAAAATTGCATTATCTTAATTAGTTATAATAGTTGCACTTATATATACATACACATATTGATATTGTTTCCATACTAACCTGTGACAGGTTAGATATATTTAACTTATATTACGAAATATTTAAAATTGCTTGTGTTTCTAATTGATATTATTATTAAAAATGTTATGCAAAACAGAATAAAATATTAAATAATGATGTTACTGACAGAAATATCAAAAAAATATTAGAGTAACACGTTTAGGTTAGAAGGCAAGTTGGAATTATTTGAAAAGAAGTAATTAAATTAAATTAAATTAAATTAAATTAAAAAAAACTTACGATAGAATTCTTCAAAGTGTAAGATAGTATCTTAGTAAAGTACAACATATACGTTAAAAAATATTTACACTAAAACACAAGATTTTAAAATATAGGAATTTACCGTAACGTGAACAATTTAAAATAGTGCTGCCATCTAACGATAGCATATATGACTAGTAGAGTAATTGAAAATTCAAAAATTCCCGCCTTTATCTAATTGATATTTATAAATTGCAAAAAAAAAAAAAAGTAAAAGTATATTTATATATATAAACATTTTTTTAGTTATGAAAAAAAGAAAAGAAATAATAACTCTTTATAAAAATTATATCTTCCAAATAACTTCTAAATATATAGGTTCGTATAAAAAAAACAAAATTCTTATATTTCTATAACATTCAAGAATTACATGCACTTTTAATGAAAAAATAAAAATTCATTCAAAATAAAATTAATTACTTTAAGATTCCATATTCATAGATTCATCTTGTTTTTTTAAAACAAATGGCATGCCCAATTTTAATATGACATCTCCTTTGCCATTACCCTCAAATTTACATTCATGAAGAGAAATTTCAGATATATTTTCTAATAATTCACAACCACCAGATTTGCGTTTTAAATCATTTAAATATTTTTGGGTTTCCAATCGAATAGCATATTCTTTCAAATGTGTCAAAAAACAATTCTTTGCTATTAATTTTCCATCATCATAAAGCTAAAAATAATATATGTATTATAATAATATGTATTATAATAATAATATATTATTGATAATATAATTACATCATTTTATAAATATGTAATGAAATTGATTCAAATAAAAAAAACGTACTTGTATACCCTCTGCGCAATTTTTAAAACTGCAATTATTCATAAATACTTCTGCAGTACTATAAATGACTAAACCTGTCCCAAGGCTGTCAAAAATTGTATTTTCTATTATTAGTTTTGCATTTGGTAACACTACAACTCCTAGTTTTACCATGCTTTGATTTAAGGCACATATTTTGCAATTAACTATTTTTGTAATTCCAGCTCTTACTACCACAGCTGCTCTAAGATCACCCACATCTACAGTAATATTTTCTAATAAAACCTATAAATATATTCTATATTTTAAAAATATGATTATAATTAATTAGAAATTAGTTTCAAATGTATACATAAATGTATATATTTACTTCACTGCCAGAAAAGTCAAGCAATGATGGTGCAGATTCAATATCTTTCATATTAAGAATTGTATCTAAATTACAAATTCCTTTAATGGTACCTCCATCTTCTAAATTACCAGCACCTTTTATTTGATGAATACCTTTTCCAACTATGATTATATCTCCTGTATCACATGTATGTAAAGTTTCCAAGAGGGAGCCGGATATTCTAAGAAAAATATCAAAATTAAAAATAATATAATGTTTCTTAATATTTAATAAACTTATATTTAATACCTGAAAAATAATTCTGTAGATAAAGAAGCTTGAATTTTATTTACAGTTTCTTTCATTTCTTCTAGAGTACCACCAAGCCATACAAAATAACCTTCCTTACATTTTTCTTTATTTTCCTTCTTCTCCAGTTTATCATTATTTAAGGATAAGGTCTGATTCATTAAAAGTATTTCTCTCATAACTGGATTTTCAAGAACTTCCATTTCTCTTTTAATTTGTTGTAATCGAAAATGAAGTTTCATCAGTTGACATGCTGTCCCTCCATCTACTATATCACTATGTGATTCTTCTCCATCAGAAATAGTATCCTCTAATCTTGATATTTTCTGTTGAATTTCTTTTCCTTCTCTTACCAAACCTCTAATTATATCACTGGTTTCTTTATTAACAATATCTCTTTTCATATCAAAAAACAATCTAATTCTTGTTTCCAAATGTACAGACACCCAATCAATATTATCATCATCGTCCAAATCCCATGGCATCCATAAGTAATTATAAAAGAATCTCAGTTGATCGATACAAGTTGCAGTACCCACCATATCTAAAGCAGTATTTTGTTGATTATGAGTTGGATAAAGATCAATAAGAGGTACATCATATTTGTCAGGTAATTGAATTTCATCTTGAACAGCAGTAATTTTCACCAATGCAGATAAATCCGAGAAATCAACTTGTTCAACTTCTACAACTACTATAGTAGGATAATGAATTTGAAAATCTTCACATATTAAACGTGGTATTCTCCATAATGCTTGCCAACCAACAGGTTCTAATGCAAGCTCAATATGATAAGACCATTCTGCCTGAATTCGTGATGCAGGTACAATTTCTCTGCTAGATAAAATTTCAGTTAATTCAACTAGTCTTTCCTGAAGACTCTTGTCAAAAGTATATATTTCCATTATATATTCTCTTTTAAATGAAAAATCCTGAAAAAAATTAATTAAATTTTATTATTATCAATATCAAATTTTTATTATTATCAAATATTATCAAATATTATAGATATATCAATATTATAAATGCTTATTAATTACGAATTTTTTTTCCGGCAAAAAATTTTATTAAAAATATTATTTATTTATGTTATTAAAATTTTCATTTTATAATTTTCAAATTATTTGAATATTGAAAAAGAAAATTTATAAATATATTAGTAGTTCAAAAACAAAGCTTTATTAATAATAATATTTTAACTCTAAAAATTCAATAATATCAAAAACAAAAATATATGATTGAAGAATGCAACTCAGTCACTTACTCTTTTAAACAAATCAAAAATCTACTTATATTTCTAAATATTTTTAATTTATTAAATATATTGCAATTTAATATTAAACAATAGAAAAATATTTCTTTTAAAAATCACAGATACATTTTCAATTATAGACATGTTAAGTTAACTGTCAAAAAATTTGAACTACAACGTTAATAAACCTGATTGGTTGATTAATAATCTATTCGATTCTCGTTTTCAATAGTTATTAACCTATCGATATTGATAATATCTGATAAATAATAAGTTCATTTTATCATAAAAATAAATAGTATCTTATTTTTTTAAACAATTGAAATTATGGCTGAAGAAACAATGGGTTTGTTTATATTATTTTACAAGGCAATTAAACATATCTTTATCTTATAAATATAACAATATTTTTAAAAGTATTGATAATTGATATTTAGATATATATCTAAACGACATAACTGTCATAACATAATAAACTTTTAATAATATTGTTTAATAGATAATTCTATTTTAATAAATGTCGACGAAAAAATGGAACGGAATTCTAAAAATATAGAAGATAATCTTTTTGATGAAATTATTGGACACATTGAAGATATTTTAATAGGTATGTATAAAGAAATTAAAATAATGGATATGAAAGATTCAATTTCTGATAAGAAATTTATTTTTAGAAGATGAATTTCATGCTATTCGACAAAAATTTTTAGATGATTATTGGAATATTTTTGAACCCGTAGAAGAAAATAAATTGATTTATACAAATATATTTAATGAATATGTGAGTGTATATAATTTTTTTATATATACACAAATATTAATTTTTTATACATATATTTATAACTTTTATAGAATAAAACTGTGGAAAATTACATTGTTAATTATTTACAAAGAACTGTACCACATTTTAATCTAGATACATTTTTAAATTATCTAAAGTAAGTATGCAATTTTGATTTAGAATATCTAAAATAATTATTGCAATTAATCAATGTATGTAATTATAAAAATATAAATATAAACATTATTTTCTTTTAAACAATTAAGTAATAAACAAAATGAATTGGAAGGTGAAGTTTTTGAAGTATTATCAACATTTACAAATTTTATGGCCTTCAAAGAAATGTTTCTTGATTATAGAGCTGTAAGTAATATTAACATATATAAAAATGAATGCATCAATGATAATATCAAATAATTTTCAGATAAAAGAAGGAAAAGTCGAAGATCTTAGTAATGGAATATTTGTTACATCTTTTAAACCTTCTAATATAAATGACAAGGAATCTTTTAGATAAGAAATTTCATTAATAAAACAAATATATTTTTAAATAAATTGAAACAAATGTTTACTAATTTCTATTTTTTTATATTTAACTGTAACTTTTTAAAATCACTATTTATTCTGTTTAATTTATGTTTAACTTATAAAAGTACAAAAAAATATGTACATTATATTAATAATATTCTAAAAAATTGAGGAATTGTTAATATTGATTGGTTTGCTTTTTGAATTTACACAGATATATTTGTTGTATCACTTAAAATATTATATTGAAAATAAAATAAAAAATATAACATATTTTTTAATTCAGCACATAAGAATTTCCATTTGTACAAGTTTACTATTTGTTTCATTTGGCATACGATACGGAAGTATTCCAGCGAAACTAGTTAAAGCTCGCGCTTGTTCTCGAAGATCAAGAAGTTGTTGTTTTCTCGCTTCTTCATCACCTGGTTCCATCGATCGTAATTTCTGGTATTGACGATAAAGTATTGTCATTGTAGCCAAAAGAACATCAGCTAATGTACCAGTTACTTCAGCTGGAACACGTCGTAATGCATTCACTCTTTCATCGACTTCTTTTATATGTAATGGTAACAATTTCGATTCCGCAATAGTCTGTAAATTAATCATTATGTATTTAATTGAATTATATATTTATATATTATCCTGGATAATCCTTACCCTAAGCGCACTTTGATATTGTTCATTATAAAATTGATCAAAGAATACCATTAAATGTCTTAAAGTATAAAATGCAGATACTAATTCAGAAGGTGCTTGTATTTCAATGTTTTGATATCTAAAAAAAATAAAAATTAACATAATTTCCTAATCACAATGTTTACTAATAACAATGATATTATAATTTTTAATGTTACCTTCCACTTATTTCAGTAGCAGTTACTTGCAATCGAGATCTAAACGATCCCGGAGAAGCCCTTTGATTAACAACTTGTGCTAAGAGTGTGCACATTAAACTAAGAACTTTCTCATGATTACCAGCAAGATCGTACATTATTACCGCATCTTCTAAAAGACCTTTCCTGTATAATGTATCTGCACTTATATTAACGACATCTTCTACATTAATTTGAAATTTATCTAAAATTCCTGGAATCCAACGATCTTTTTCTATCTTTCCAACTAATTGGGCTCTGACTGTTGGTGAAGCATCAACTACCATTTCTGCAGTAGATACTGCAAACATATTACGATCATATGGATCTCTCATAGATCTAAAAAATAATCTAGTCTTAAAATAGAATTTTTAAAATATTAATGGTTATCTCATTTTCTATACAAACCTTAATAAAAATAGATAATGTAAACATTCTTCTGGATCTGTAGAATCAAATCGTTTAACATACAATAATATTAACCTGGCAAAATTTAATCTTTTAGCAGGAGGTTTGTCAGCAGGATCAACGCTTAATAAAGGAGCTAGAACACTTTGACTAATTCCTAATAAGTTTTGTTCATGCATAGCAGCTGCTAAATGTACAGCATGTGGTAAGTGTCTTGCTCCTGCACCTCTTGCCAGAAATTCAATTGCAGCTTCAAATTGACCAGTTAAAAATAACATTGAAAAATATACAAATGGTTGTTCATGTGCATGATAATATGATTCTCCATATATTTCTGATATAGTAGTTTGTAAATAATCTAAAGTCAATTTATTTTCTGCATCTGAATGATCTCTAACTTGACACAGTTTTAACCATAAATAATCATCAGCTGTACAAATTACATCAGGATGTAAGTCATCAGGTTCACAAGGAACTAATGCACAATATGCAGCTTTTTTATATGGATCAGTAACTGATCTCACATGTTTTCTATACTGCAACTTTAAATTTGATTCTGCAGAACTGCTAAGACGTCTTGAGGGATCACAACAAGCTTCTTCTAATGCAATTCTAAATTCTGAAAAATCTGTTTTGCACTGGCTAAGAAAATGTAATGCTGCTTTATAATCACCAACTCTCATAGAATAATAGACTAAAGGCCACAATGGTATATTTTCAACCATCAAATCCTTCAAATTTTGTACTTTAACAGTAACAAAACTTTTAACTAATGGAACAATACCTGGAGTACCACCTCGTTGAGCTTGGGTTGAGTTTTCACGAATAACAGAATTCATAAATTTTTCATATCTATTTTCTAAATATTTTCTTGCATGTAATACAATCTCTTGTTCAACAATAGGTGTACTTCTTGATTTGATTTGATCTTCTCTAGGGACTGGTTGAATATTATTTACACATTCAATAATCATTTTCCAAAGATCCACAATCTTTGTGTCATTAAATGACTCTGCTGCCATACGAAATGCTTCAAATAAATTTTGTTTTAGCCCTTTAAGAACACAATCATTATACTTTTGTAATTCTTTCACATAAGCCACTTCTACACTGGATAATCCTTTAATCATGGAACCAGTTAATTTAGTACGTTGTGGAGTACCACGTAAATCTACAAGTTCTCCAGATGGAGCTGTCATAGCATTCATTATCTCAAACCGCATTTGTTTCCATTCACCCAACATATGTTCCATTTGTTGAATTCTTGTAAGCTCAAATGTCTAAAATAAAATGAAAATTTTGATGAAAATTGATATATATATATAGACATATATTTCAAAAAATATTGTTTGTATAAATATCACATATAATAAAATATCTTACATCTTTATGAACTTGTTCAATGATTGATAAAATAGCATTTTCTTTTTCATTTTTAAGATAACTAACTATATCTGTATCTGCAATAGGATCTAAAGGTTCAAAAGTACGTCTTGCACTAAGTGAACTTAATTTTTGTGAAATCTGAGGTAAATCAACACCATGTGAACCAAATAAAAGATATCTGAAATTAATACCTAGTGTTATTCCTCTTAATATTTTAATAGATTTGAAAAAATATTAGATTAAAAAAAATATTAATATGAGATAAATTTTATCTTTATATAAGTTACAAGTTAATTTACTTTATTCTAAATACTAATCATTATAAAAAACATATTAATTAAATAAAATGTTTTGGCGCCAAAAATTTCTAAAGTTTTTAGGTTATGCAATCAAATACATTAAACATAATATAAATAATTGAAAATAAATTTCTTATTACAAGTATAAAATTGAAACCATACAATTAAAAATTAGTTAAATATTTAGTATAAAATAAATATGTGAATCTTCTTACGCTTGTCTTTGATTATCTTGAGTGCCGGTTTGCGTGACACGAGACCAAAGTTCATTGGAAGCTTCTAAAATTTGACGAAGATTTCTTTCAACTTGAGGAAGTTCTTCATTGCCTTCTATAGCAGCAGATAATCTTTCCGCTGATCGTAATAATTCACTAAAGCCAGTATCTCCTGATACTCGAGAAGAATCCGAGGTTAACATATCGGTGAATCCAGGATCGCTCATATTTAAAATACGATGTTCACAGATTTTATAAGTTACGAAACTATCGAATAGAAATTGTAGGGAATTTTGATCTTTTCATAAACTATTAAATTAGCTCATTTCATAATATTTTTATTAAATAAAAATAGATAATAAAAATAGATAATTTAAAGGTCTTTTATAATTTTAATAATTTTAAATCTTCAATAAATTTTAATAATAAAAATATTAAAAAACTTAATGTGCTTTATAAAATTAAATCAAATACGTTGTTATTTATGTAAATAAGAACAGACTTAAAATTTAAGGCTACCAACAATACAATTCATATTTTTCACTATTAAATACCCTATCTAGATTGACAGTCAACAAAGACAAAGTGCATTCTTCTGCTTGAATTTGATTGTCTCGAAAAACCGTGTGTGCTGCAAACAATATTTCTCTAAATAATTCTATTAAATATTTATCAAATTTAATAATATATTAAGTGATATAAATTCAAATTTTTATTTATTTAATTTGAATCAAAGTAAAAATTGATGAAAACAATGATTAAGATAAATGTCGCATTTTGTCCGCGTGTTGTATGCACGTTGTGGTCAAAAGAATATTTTCTTACAATGATAATCCATGATTAATAATGGAAAAGTGTAATTCTAATAATAAGGAAGACCGTCAGGTCCTCCAATATTTTGTTGCCAAACAAAATACTATTTTAATGCGTATATCGGGAGAATGTGACAAAAATGTCAATACATTACGTCTTGGCATGTTGGTTGAAGCTATCGAAGATTTAGGAGATAGCGCACTTAAAGTACGCGTTATTGATACGACAGGATCAGAAATTTGGCGTGACACAGAATGGAGATGTCATAGATTTGATTTAATCTCTGTTTCATCAGAAGTTTGGAAATTTTTACCTGCTGTTTCAGTCCCTCAAGAAAGAGTTCGTTTGGCAAATTATAAACACTTATGCGAGGAACTTATGAGCTTAGCAATAAATGACACTGTTTGGTATTGTGCTGATCCTCTGGGATGTACTAAATTTTTGGCTATTATTAAATATATTGGACCTGTGCCACAACTTGGACAAGGATATTATTTTGGCCTTGATTTGTTGGTAATTTATTGAAATATTTTATTTGATATTATCTTTTTTATATTTTTCATTAATAATTTTTTAAAGATAGAATAGAAATATATAAATATTAATAAAATTAAGATATATAAATATATATATTTTTATAGGAAAGTCAAGAACCATCCAAAACAGCTTTATTAAGCAAAGAATATTTTGTTTCTACTCATTCTGAAGGAAGATTTGCTACATTGAGTAATATTTTCCCATTAAAACCTGGAGGTCCTACAGGTCTTGCAAAATCAGATAAAAGTAAAAAGATAAACATTTTATTTTCTTGAATTTATAGAAATTTAATTTATTAATTAAGCCTTTTAATTTCAGATTTATGTACAAAAATTGAAACAGGAAATAATTGTACAAATGATAAGAAAAAATCTGTATTGGATACTATACCACCTGTTTTGTTAGAAAGATTTAGTCTATATGATGATAATAAAAATAACAATAGAGATCAAGGATCTTTGTCAAAAGAATATTTTCAATCAATAAAATCAACAACACATGAAAATGACAGCAATTTAACTAAAAGTATAATCACTTATGGTAATAATAGAAATATACAAATAAATTTTAAGTTTGGCTTTTTGTTTGGTAGAATATCTTGCTGAGTGCTCCACATAGTATGTCTTTACCTACGTGTAGTAGAGGGAGTTAAGAATAACTGAGGTAGTTAAAAATAGCCACAATCTTAGTCTCACTTAGTATTGCCGGCAAACTTCTCAGTGTTGTAAACTTATCATAATTTTATTATAAAATGGCTGCTGAATTGCAAAACATCCCTATCTTCGTATTAGAACATAAATGGAGTAGTGATATTGAATCAAACATGTATAGTGATCTTGAGGAGACATTTGAATATTCAAGTTCATTAAATTGTAGTAAGAAATAATAGATGAATATTCATGAACTCTACTACCATTTTATTTTTTCTGTTTATTTTGTTTGTTACATTACATTGTATTTTTTTCTTTTTCGTGATTTCAATTAATATTTTAAATAAAATAATTTTTACATTCAATTGAATAATATATGAGTGTAAACTTTTATTATTATAATAGGTAATACACTCGAAAAGAATGAAAATAAAAAATTTGGGCGAACAGAAAATTTGGATCTAATTGTGGGTTCAAATGTAAAGGTTTTGTTGGATTCTGATGTACATTATGGAATTATTCGTTGGATTGGAACTCCTTCTGGTATTACTTCTGGTAAATTGATTGCAGCTGTTGAATTGGTATGTATAACAAAAAAAACAAATTCTAAAAAATTAATAAAAATAATTAATTTTTTAATTTTTTTCTAATTATTTTTTTTATAGGATGATAGTCATCCATCAGGTACTGATGGAACATATAAAGATGTAAGATATTTCCATTGTCGACCATACAAAGCTATTTTTACGGATCTTGAACAATGTTCACGATATGATGCCATGGTAATTGCTATTGTTTCATATATTTAGATTCGTATAAAAATATATATTTTTTTTTTATAGACAAAAATTGATGATTCAACAACATTGATAAATACAGATAATTTCGGAAATATAGAAAGTTCCGTTATTGTTGGTATGGTACGTCCTATCTCTGTAAAAGGAAACTTGGAAAGTATTTGTGGAAAATATCGAGGAATTCAAGGTCATCATAATTCATGTTACTTGGATGCCACTCTTTTCAGCATGTTTACATTTACTAGTGTTTTTGATAATTTATTATTTAGGTATTAATTAAATATTTATTCTTTTATTCTTTATTTTTTATTGAAAATAAAATTGAAAATAAATGATATTTTATTTTTCAGACCACCAAATGAAAAAGATTGTCCGCAATACGAAGAAGTACAAAGAGTATTACGCGAAGAAATTGTAAATCCACTTAGAAAAAATATGTTTGTGAGAGCAGATCGAGTGATGAAGCTCCGAACTTTACTTGAGAAATTATCGTCTGTATCCGGGCTTACTAGCGAAGAAAAAGGTATTTCATTAAAAATATATTTCGATATTTTAAAAATTAAAATTATTATTATTTAAATCCGTGCAGATCCTGAAGAATTTTTAACTTCTTTGGTTGCACAAATTTTGAATGCTGAACCATTTCTTAAATTAAGTTCTGGTCAAGATGCATATCATTACCAACTTTTTGTTGAAAAAGATGATCATTTAAATCTTCCAACTGTGCAACAATTATTAGAACAAAGTTTTCTTACAAGTAACATAAGATTGAAAGAAGTTCCTTCATGTCTTATTATACAAATGCCACGATTTGGAAAATCATTTAAGATGTATCAAAAAATTCAACCTACATTGTTGCTTGATGTAACAGACATAATTGAGGATTGTAGGTATTGTTATAGTATATATATATTTATATATTATTGATATGACACATTTCAATGTTGTAATTATTTTTTTATCATTTTCTTTTATATACAGCTCCAAGACAATGTACTGTTTGCGGAAAATTAGCAGAATATGAATGTAAAGAATGTTTTGGACAATGTGGCGTTGGACTTGAAAGTATTGCTTTTTGTTTGCAATGTTTAGAAAAGGTAAAATAAAGAATATTTAGAAAGTATAATAGATAAAAAATAAAAATTATTTTAAAAAATTCTTTTAGGTACATCGACATGAGCGAAGAACAAATCATGAACCAAAGAAGCTTGTAGTACCAATGGAATTCGCTATTTTACAAGAACACTGTCCAGTTCCACGATTGTATCTTGAATTGTCGGCAGTAGTTTGTATCGAAACTTCCCATTATGTATGTTTTGTAAAATGTGGTTCTGGTTCTGAAGCTCCATGGTGTTTTTTTGATTCCATGGCAGATAGAAAAGGTTTCAATCACATTTAATAAATTATATTAAATCACATTTAATATATTATATCATTATTATTAATTTATAAAATTTTTCTTCTACTTTTAGGAGAACAAAATGGTTACAATATACCGGAAATGGTTCCATGTCCGGATTTTCCATATTGGTTAAGCGAGGAAGGTGGAAATTATTTAACTGAATTAACAGACGATCGTCATCTACCGGAACATGCAAAACGACTGTTATGCGATGCATATATGTGCATGTATCAATCTCCAGATGTTATGATGTACAAATAAATTAAAATGCCTGATAATATAGGTAAGTTAGGTTTAAAATTATTATTTTTAATAAAAATAGGTATAATGTTTGTGCTTATTGCTTTATTTTATGTAAATTTATATAACAATAGTAAAATTTATTCACAAAAACTTTATACTAAAAGATAAAAGGAAAAGAAAAAATTGAAAATTTTATCAGCTCATAAAGTTTATTCAAATGCAGAAAAACATGTAATCTTAAGGGAACTAAGGTTATACATATATATTATACAAATTATATGAAAATCACGATTTTCAATCAAAAACTAGTAATCTAACTCGGGTATAGTACTGATTTTTAAATTCACGAGATATATTCATTCATATATATATATATTTATCAGTGACATAAAATTAATATTTTTCATACTATACGAAAATTATTGGAAAATTTACTATATTATTGTAAAATTTATACATATATTGCACAATCTAAATTAATCATCAAATTTTATCAGTTTGTTGAAAATGAATTCAAAATATTGAATTAATATCTTGATAATTTACAAAACTGAATATTGTATTGATACATTAAGAATATATATTTGTCAAAAGTCATATATGAGGTATAAAATTTTATACGAAAAGCTTATCAAAATGTTATTATATGACTGATTTTTATAGCAAAGAGCACAAACAATTAATAAATCTTTTATAACTTAAAGATATAATGACTAAGATTAAGAAATTCTGCACTTTTAGATCTATTGTTGCTCTAATAATTTTTGTACTCCCATTTTATAATATCAGATTAAATCTATTTTTTAATTTAATTATTTTATTATTATAATAATCTTAAAGAAATCTAATAGAGCAACTTAGCACAACAACAACAACAATTTAAAATCCACTAAGTTCATTACGTTTTTATATAAATAATGATAAAGATCTTTTTGATATCTTAAATTTGAATATTTTACATAGAATGAAAATCTAGATCTTAGATTTGTACAAATTTAATTAATGTGTAGCAGATTTATATACTTAATGCATCTCTGATAATAAATGTATATATGAAAATTATAAAGTCACAAAGAAAAATATTGTTTCAAAATCTTACAAAATTTTCAAAACTATTAGATTTTTTCTTGACTACAATTACTTCAATATCATATAAAAAAAGATAAAAAGAGAATTTTTGTTAGACTTAAGTCTGAAAGAAATATTATTACAAGTGAAAATAAACGAAATAATTATGAAAAATTTGAGATGTATCATTGTATAAGTTATGTAATAGATAAAATTTAATGTTCATTCATGCCTTTGTGGCAAAACTAATAAAGATAGTGACGAAGTTTGTATAAACATGTATTATGAATTTAGTATCTGTCTTCATCTTCATCCATAGCAAAGTCACTGCCAACACCAGAATCTAATACGTAGAGAGGACTGTAAACATATACATAAAAATAATAGTGATTAAGTAAACAAATGTGATATTGAAATATAAATACTTACTTTATTGCTCTGCATGGAAAAAACACAATACGTTTTAGCTTTTTATTATAGAAGAAATAATTAAAAGACCATAAGCATCCATCTTCTCCAAATGGATCAGATGCAAAATCTGGATTGTAACTAAAAATTTTCATATTCTCGATTTATTTAGTATATTTTGCAATTTATTTCTATAAAATTAGAGTAACAAATATATTATATGTTGAATATAAAATGATTCAAGAATTTACCTATAAATATCACATTCGTTTAATGATATTTCGTCATCAATGGCAGCCCAAAGTGCCGTTCGTAAAGTACGATAATGGTCTCCCGCAGTTGCACTCAAATTACTGTCTACAGCATTCATGACCCATTGCAAGCTCGGCTCTTTACTGAATTCATGACTTTTAGCATCAGAAAAATCATAATCTGGATGAAAAGCAGAATTCAAAGTAGCAATCAAATAGAATAATGTTTTTCTACTGATTGTATCACATAATGGACCATCTTCATCACCAGAAATACTGCGACTATAGCAAAAATATATCTATTAAATCAATGTACAGATAAGTGTTTATTATCAGAAATATTAATGTATTTTATAAGGTATTCTAGATTTTTATAACTTTTTACATATATTTAAACATGAATTTTATTTCATATTAAAGAAGATAATATTCATATTTATTATTTTATTACATTTCATTTTTAATTTTTAATACCTAAAGTATCCTTGAGCAGGTGATGTTCCTAATGATGTTTGTGGGGGTGATAAAGCTTGAAGATCATGTGGAGTAAAACCTTGTTCTGCATTGAAACGTTTATATAGCTGTTTATCATTTCCAGCCATTTTGCAAGAGTAGCTCTCTATTCTATGGATGAAAAAAATATAATGTTTAGGATTATTTTAAAGGATAGAACAATTCAATAAATATTGATCCAATTATCTTACCTGCCTATTATTTTGCTGTCTCCAGTCTTGATGGACAAGGCACTGTTTATGGCTTCAAAACGTGTACTCTCCAGCAATTTCATCTTGTCAACAACAGTAGTTTACTTATACGTTGTGTAAGAACAGTGTCTCTGTACTGGATACTCTTGGTGCATCTCTCAGTCAAACACTTTTGTCATTAATACTCCATTAGATAGGAGTTGATGACCTTTAATGTGTTTTTCGACTAAACTTGACCTCGTTTCTCAGTCGGACGGCCAAGGGATGTTCAATATAATCGAAAATTTAAAAAACTTCTACGACATCGAAGACTTATTGAGTCTTTGTACATCTTTTTTATATATATGAAAATTCCTTTCCTCTTTGAGTGTACGAAATTAATCTTGGACGTAATGATTTTTCCCGCGGCGCCGAGCTTGTACATCACAGATCTCTAATTAAAGATATCGAGACGAATATACGTCCGTGCGCAATCCGATTTCAGCAATCGGTTCTTAGATTAAACTTCAACTGTGATCAGTGTTAGCTTCTCGTGCTACGCAAATGACGTGCAAGTTAAAGAGAGGGAAAACGGAGTAAAGGATAGGCGACTACCCTTGAGAAACAAAAGACGCCGTTTTTTAGGTCAAAAACTCGCGCTAAACAGAAAGTTGATGGCGAACGTGCTATAAAGTCGACAGAAAACAATGAATCGGGCTTGTTTATTGGAAATCAGCTAAACAAAGTGACTAAGAAATGTTATATGTCCGCTACTGATGAAAACAATCCATAATTACAGACATTGTTGTCACTATCACTCGAATTATCACGGTCACTGTTAAACAAAAGCACCCAAAATTCAATTAAACTCCGATGCAATAATCAAAAATCGACAAACTTCAACTCTTTTCGCTCCTGTTTCGCACCGTTTATTAATTATTTGCGTTTCGATATTAGTACACTTATATGCAACAACGAATATATGCGTTCTACGTGACAGAAATAGCACAGCGAAGCGTCTTGAATCCTTCTCTCTCAGATTCTGTTTCTCTTTCTTTTACTCTTTTATATCACTTCCCCTCGCTTCACCTCTTAATCCATATATGTTTTTAGTGTGGATATGTACATGAATTTTATTCAGCCAATCAAAAGCCAACGATAAAGATGTGTATGTTAGGACACGATGCAACGAGTCATATACTACCTTTGGATATGTATAGAGTTGCGTACATGATTCAATTCTAGTTCGCGTATTCGGTTTGATTCTAACCTTGCAGAATGCTGATAGGAATTCGAATTTGTTGGTAAAATGTCAAATCGTTGGGGCAGCGACTATGTGGTTACCGAGCACCGTGATTTACAGGTAGGTTATTTCATAAAAAGAAAATATATATTTTAATTTTAAATATTATAATATACACTTATTTTTATTATTAAATTATTTTTATTTTGTATATGTAGGCTAATACTATGGCCGTGGATGCGACGGGTAATTATGTATTACTTGCCGGGTAAGTAATAAAAAAAATAGTTTATACTTAGTGTATAATTTCTTCTAATGTTTATGTATTCTTTAACTTTGCTTCTTTTGTTTACGTATCTTTAGACGCAGATGTTTTGCGGTAAAACACCTTGACGAAAGTCTTGATATATTAAAAAAATTTCAAAGACAGAGTAAATATGAAGTTGGCTCTGCAGAATGGAATCCTACAAGTATAAATTGCCATCTTTGCGCTGTATCGGTTAGATATTAAATCTGTATGTTATAAACAACATTATAAATATACTTAATTGAATTTATATTTTAGAGCAATACACGTATTGAAATATTATCTCTTATTGGAACTGGTAGTTATGACTTACAAACAACAAATAGTCTAAAAGCACATACAAGAGTTGTGAGTGATTTAAACTGGCATCCTAAAGAACCAGAAATCATTGCTTCTTGTAGTATTGATACATTTATACATATATGGGATATAAGAGATCAGAGACGACCTTGTTTATCTTTATCTGCAGTTGGTAAATATAGAAATTATAAAAACCATAAAGTGATGATTATGACAAAATAATTTGTAAAAGTTTAAAGATATATATTTTTGAATATGTTAGCTGGTTCTTCTCAAGTAAGATGGAACACTCTTTCTCCCAATATATTGGCAACAGCTCATGATGGAGATATTAAAATATGGGATCAAAGAAAAGGAAATAGTCCTATGCAATATATAGCTGCTCATCTAACAAAAGTATAAATTATTCTTGCAATACTCTTGCAATCCTTTTAATAAAATATAAATTTTTATAAGATATTTATAAACATTGAAATTATTTTAGATACATGGTTTAGATTGGTGTCCATTTCAACAAAATCAATTGGCAACATCTAGTCAAGATTGTACTGTGAAAATCTTTGATATCAGTAATCCACGAAGAGCTGAAAGTATTTTAACAACAAATTCACCAGTATGGAGGGCAAGATATACGGTAAAGAAAATCTTACATTAAAAAAAAAAAGTAAAATTTATTTCTATCTATAAAAAGTAATTTATCTAGCCATTTGGAGAAGGATTGGTAACAATAGTAGTACCACAATTACGACGAGGAGAAAATAGTTTATTATTGTGGAATACAACAAATCTCAATGCTCCTATTTATACTTTTGTAGGACATACAGATGTTGTTCTTGAATTTCAATGGAGACATCAAAAATTAGGTGTGTATTACATAAATATATTTATAAATAAAAAAAAAAATAAACAATATATTTATAATTTGTAGAAAATAGTGATTTTGAACTAATTACATGGTCAAAAGACCAATGTTTAAGGATATATAAAATTGATCCTTTTTTAAAAAAAGTAAGTATTTTTATATATGTTATTACATAAAAATGAAAATATTTATTTATAAAAATTATGATATAATACTATTTTAGTTATGTGGACATGGTATAGATGATAGTACATCTATTTATACTCAGTATTCTGAAGATAATAATTTACGTATGTATTTTTTATTTATAAATATAATACATTTATTATTTTATTTAACTAATATAATTGTGATTAATATAGGAACATTACAATCTGTCCAACAATTACAACTTAATGATAGTCAAACTGATCGCGAAATGAATTGTATGACAACAAAAGTAGATGAACCTATATTGAATTCTGAAGCAGATGTATATATTGAAAATAATAAAGAAATATCGTCTCCTACACAACCAAAGACTCTGCAACAAGAATTTTCATTAATAAATATGAACATACCAAATATAGAGGTAATATATATGGACATAATTAGAAATACAATGGACATAAAGTTAAATATTTTTATTATTATAGGTCAATGCAATGGATGCTGTAGAACGTAGTTGTACAGTAACAGCATCTAATAAAAGTTATAATGTGATATTGAAAGTAAATTTTCCTCCAAATTATCCATATAGTGCACAACCTACATTTCAATTTTGTCCTGGGACAACAATTGATAATGCAACATTGGCAAAATTGTTGAAAGTTTTAAAGCAAACTGCTCAGCAACGTGTTAAAAAAAACAGATCATGTTTAGAACCTTGTCTTAGACAATTAATTACAACATTGGAACAAGTAAAAGAAAATTTATATTTCAGATCAAACATTCATCTTATATAATGTCTGATGTTTTTCCTATTTCTATAGACATGTAAAAAAGATGAAAATGAAAGTACTCATTTAGGATATGACATTCAAGACAATGCGAATTTTTTAAATTCTTCTAATATGTATACAAATTATCAAGATACGTATATACCATTTCCTAGAACATCTGGTGCAAAGTTTTGTTGTGTAGGTATGTAAAAAAAAAAATTTTTAAAAAAGAAATAATAGCGAAAAATATGTTACATTAGGACTTTATTATTTAATGCATTATTTTGTAGGTATACTTGTATGTTTTGGTCGTGCTTCATATACGAGAAGATCATCTATGAAGCCTGAGTGTACAACACCTAGAGCACTTTCTGCATTAGGAAATGGAATAGGCAGTGGAGAACATTTTATACATATGTATCCAAATTCTTATGTACAATCAAATGATAACATTCCTATTAGTTCCTTTTATTTTCAAGACCGAGTATGTATAACATTTTTTGTAAAAACGATAATATAAATTCATAAATTACATTAAATATTTTCGAATCAATAGAAAATGAATCGTGGATTACATAATACAAATAGAATGACCTATAGATCATGTTGTAAAAATTATCACTTTATGGTGATGATATATGATGCCTCTTCATTATTTTTCGTTAATAAAGAACTTGCCGAAAAATATGTGTGAGTTCAATAACTATTTTATATTCATTAGTAAAATTTTCAAAAAATAATTTTTTGATTTTGTTTTATATTTAGTATTAATATCACCGATATTCCGGCAATGTGTCAATATAATGCAAATGTTGCTGCATCATTAGAACGTGCTGATTTAGTTCAAGCATGGTGTTTAGCTGCTCTTGTGATATCGCAACCAATTTCAAATATTGGACAAAATTCATGTCAGTCACCTGACATCGATGCTCCATGGCATTTGCATCCTTTTGGTCAAAATTTAATTCATTCTTTGTAAGTAATATGTATATCATTTACAAAATAATTAGAATGTCATATATTAATTTGTTTTTAGAATACAACATTATGCTAAACAATCAGATATTCAAATGGCAGGAATGCTCAGTTGTGCTTTTAGCTATCGTTCAGAAAATCCTGATGTTGCTCAAACACGAATGAGTAACAAATCCATTAACATCAGTGTAAGTATACTATAATTATTTTTTAAATATTGAAATGTTCTAGCATGGTTTGGCACAAGCACTATATTTCTTATAGCATCATTAATAGTTAATACATTACATGTCTTGATCATATTTTGTCTTCTGTTCACGAAACTATACTGAACATCTTAATATTTAAGATGATATCTTCGAATATAATCATCTTATTCCACTGTTCATATTTCAACATTAACTTTTCAAACTACAGTATATCACATTTTTCATATTTCGCACACATTTTTTTCTTCTGATGCATGAATATGTGCAATTTAAATGTCTTATGATACGACGGTATTGTATGGATATATCTATAATAAATTTAATTATAGTATATATCAAAATTTAAATAGATCATACTATACCGACGTAATTTTTTATTATTTTATTTCAGTATTTTTTTTTTATTATATTTTTTAAAAATTACCAAATGATTGATGTTTTGTTATCTTTGTTATAGAGGCTTTCTACAGGAAAATGGTGGTTAAAGGTAAGGCATGGTTTCCGAATTTTCTAAGTTTGTACGTGTTTGAAATGTTTTGGTTCTTAGGATTTTTCTTATCATGGTGATATTTGTTACTGTCTTACAGCATCGGAGTGGAAATGTCATGATGCCACAAAGCATGTAGGTTTGGCTCTGCTTAATATTTAAAATGCCAAACTTTTCAATTTCGCATCTAATAATTATTTTACATTATAACTAATACCCATAAAATCATGTTAGTAGTGATTAATCATATGTGATGTACTGTTTGTTGTATTTATATTTAGAAATTTCATACAGAAGACAAACATCTTTATGCAGAAAGAGATCATAGACATTATACGTTTATCTACATATATGTATTTTGTGTATATTGTATTTTTATTATTTACTTAAAGTTTATGAATCAATTTGTAGCTTTATATATCATTTGATATATCTTTTTAGCCTGGTGGTTCTCCATATCATACAATACATTTAGCCGATACTACATTGGAAGGATGGAACTTCCAAAATTTGAAGCAACATCGATCTAATTCGTGGTCTGATTCTCTTGATGACTTAAAATTAATTCAAGATACATTTGGAGATTCTGTAAAAAGTATTAGGTATTTGTAAAATTTTAATTCAAGATTATATAATTTTTTTATGAATTAAACATAAACGTTGATCGTGTAGGTTACTCGATGAAAAATATACTACTCTTTATGATGGTTATAAAAAAGCATATGCCGAAGTGTTACATAGATGGCGATTATTAGATGCACGTGCACAAGTATTAAAACACGTAAGCACAACTCCATTAGATACACACAAAGGTGTCGAATTTCAGAGTGAATGTCAATTATGTGGCAAAGTTAGCAGAGGGCCTCAATGTATGAACTGTAAACGATTAGCATTGGAATGTGTAATTTGTCATATCTCTGTTAGAGGTAAATTTAATTTTATATAAAATATTTTTAAATTTAATTTCATAAAATCTTTTTTTTTCTTGCGATAAAATATATAGTAAAATTATTTTATATATATATATATATATATATATATATATACATATATATTTAGGTCCAAGTAATTTTTGTATATTTTGCGGACATGGAGGTCACACACAACATTTGGCGACATGGTTTGCTACTAAAACATTGTGTCCTACGGGTTGTGGATGTTACTGCTTGCAGGAAAGTTCTGCTCTTTTAAAATTGTAAATAAAAGATTTAAAAAATTGTACATAACTGTGAAAAAATATTAGGATATAATAAATAGTATTTTAAAATATAATATAAACATAATATCTTTAAAATCATCTGTAATTTTCCGTATTATCATTTTTTAGTAAATTATTTTAATGAACTTGTTTCAATAAATATTTCTTCTAATTCTTTCATTTCAATTGCAAAGAAAATAGAATATTCACAATATGTGTTATATAAAATAAAAAGATATTAAATAAAACTATATATATATATATCAATATGCGACGAATTTTTTCAAGATATGCGTATAAGATATGCTTCTCTAACAAATCTTTTTTCTATTTTGTAACAATTTTTCCAATACAGTATATTTTCTTCGTTTAAAGAAATCGTAAATTACGCCAAATTAGGCAAGACCATTTGATTTAATAATTAATTATTTTATATATAATAAAATATTTTAATCTTTTATTTTATATATTATTTTATATATTATTTTATATATTATTACCTTTATCAAAGAACTAACTTCTAATGGAATTAGAAAAACTTTTTTTTTTGTCATTTATACAAAAATGATTGAACAAGATAACTTTACTTAAAAAACGATATTTTTTACATAAATAAGATATCTATATTGAAAACAATGAATGAATAATTATAAAGATCAATAATTGATTTATATTAAAACATCGCATTCTTATTATTCGTATTATACAGAAAAAAGTACATCAGAGCCTTTGAATTTAAATAGTAACTAGTATCGATAGTAATCAGCTTTATAAGGGCCTTCCTTAGGTACGCCAATATATTTGGCTTGATCTTCTGTCAATTTGGTCAATTTCACACCAAGATGATCTAAATGCAATGAAGCAACTTCTTCATCTAATTTCTTTGGTAGCATATAAACTCCAATAGGATAAGATTTAGATTTGGTCCATAATTCTATTTGTGCCAAAACTTGATTCGAAAATGAATTGCTCATCACGAAACTGGAATGTCCTGTAGCACATCCAAGATTAACTAATCGACCTTCTGCGAGGAGGATAATATGTCTGAAAATGATGAATAAAATGTGATTTAAAAGTGTCACGAAACCGATTAATAAAAATATATATAAAATAATTCTCTCACTATTGAAACCAAAGAAAATCTCAAAAGTCGATATCGAATGTTTTGTCATTTAAATATCTTCGGTGTCACGTAACATTGGATCGAATTACTAAGGAATAGTGGTTCCCAAACATTTATAAATTATAATTATTATAATACATATTTTAACTTTTTTATTTTTTATATCTTTTAAAATTTTTTATTTATATATGTAAGCGAAATTTATTATTTATTTATTAATTATTATAAATTATTATTTATTATTATAAAATAACTATAAATCGAAAATAAGTTTTAGTTTATAAATAAATGTTTGAGAATCACTTCTATCTTGCTCGTCGTTACTAATTTGTGACCAATGTGATATCATTTAAATCAAAAACGAAATATTCGATATCAACTTTTAAAATTTTCTTATCGGCATTTCCTTTGGATCCATTAGAGAAAGAATGTATTTAACTATCGAATCGAAATGAAATATGAATGTTTTTCTTTGGATAATTTTATGATATATAATTTAATGATATAGGAATTACTCTGATTAATTAAATTCTAAATGTAAAACTATTAATGTACCTTTTATTTTTCAATTGATATCTATCTACTTGTGGCTTAATGTTTACTTTTTCAATAGCATTTTGTTTAAGCCATGTAACATCGATTTCGCAATCGAAATGACCAATATTGCAAACTATAGCATCTTCTGGCATATTTAGAAAGTGGTTGCTCGTTATAATATGTTTACAACCTGTACTGGTAACATAAATGTGTCCTTTTCGTGATGCTTCATCCATCGTCGTTACCTGTTGAGTACATTAAAATTTATATTAAAAATTATATTATATTAAAAATTCATCGGTTTTTATTAAAATTCTTAATTAATGATTTAATTATATTTTCATATTAGATTCTGACTTATTAAGGTTTCAATCACCTCATATCCTTCCATAGCTGCTTGTAATGCATTAATGGGATCGATTTCTGTAATTATTACACGTCCACCAAATGCCTTAAGACTTTGGGCACAACCCTTTCCAACATCTCCATACCCAGCAACTACACAGATCTTACCAGCGATCATAATATCTGTCGCTCGTTTAATACCATCGATCAAGGATTCTCTGCATCCATAAAGATTATCGAACTTACTCTATTCGATAAAAAGTATTAAAAATTATTAAAACTATAATATATTAAAAACTAGATGGATTTAAACTTATTTAATTCTACTACACATTTTTTTAATGAAGTTTATTTTGCAGTAATTTAACGGTTTCTTTTTTTTTTCTTTTAAGAAAAATACTCTTTTTGTTTTTTTAAATAAAATATAACAAACCTTTGTTACTGAATCGTTCACATTTATCGCAGGAACTTTCAAAGTGCCTTCTTTCATCATGCGATACAGGTTATGCACACCGGTTGTAGTTTCTTCAGAAATACCTCGGCATTCCTTAAGATATTTCGGAAATTTGTCATGCACCAAGTTAGTCAAATCTCCACCATCATCTAGGATCAAGTTTAATGGTTTTCCATCTTTAAATAGTAGAGTTTGTTCTATACACCATATATATTCTTCATCGGTTTCGCCTTTCCAAGCATATACGGGAATTCCTGCCTTCGCAATAGCAGCAGCTGCATGATCTTGTGTGCTGAATATATTACACGAGGACCATTGAACCTATCGATATAATAGCAATAATAGATCAGTAAAATTTATTATTAAAGATATTAAAGTGAATGTGTTTCATGTGTTAAAATAAAATTAATATATTTCGTACAATATATTAACAATTTATTTTTTCAGATTAAATTTCGATATATTAAATTTCATTTTCTTATATTTTTTATTTATAATTATTTTATTTTCTTTTTTTTTTTTTTTTTAATTAATCATACTGATAATAAAAACCGAATTCTTTAAAAGAGATTATTGATATTATGTTTTTATTGCGTAAAAGTTTAAGATATGTATCTTCTATTTCAAATTTTAAATAAATGTAAAAGTGTATTATGTTTCATAATGTTAACATTTGATCTAAGATTATGATTTGAAAAACTTTCCGATACAATTGTCGATGAATGTTACAATAACGTAAAAATGTTACAATAACGTAAATCATTATCTATGACACGAATCTGTATACGTAAATGCGTATTTTTAATCTTTTTCTCTCGTATTCTGAATATCTAATAAAAAAATCTCGGAATGGCATAAGAGCAAAGAAATATTTTTAGATATATGATACACATAACTTTCTCTAATATATGACATATCGCAATTTAAATTCGTATTTCTTTCAAAGAATATCTTTAATCATAAATGATATTTTGTTTTATATCATTTAATTTTCATAAATTTTAATATCATATACTTTTCATTTGCCAATATTAGTACAAATAGAAAATACATCATAAATGATTTGAAAATGCAATTTATAAGTATCAAATTTTGCTTTGATTAAAATTAAATAGAAAAAGATAAAAAATTTGAAATATAAAACGCAAACAATAATGATAAAATATATCGAACGAACCTCAGCTCCTAATTCAATGAGAGTTTCAATAAGAACCGCAGTTTGCACTGTCATGTGTAAGCAACCGGCAATTCGTGCACCTTTTAAAATTTTTTGAGGACCATATTTCTTTCTGATAGCCATAAGACCAGGCATCTCTTGTTCTGCTAAGATAATTTCTTTTCGTCCCCATTCCGCCAATGTTAAATCGGCTATAATTATAAAAATGATTTTATTAATCGAAAATCTCTGTTCAATAATTCATGAAATATTGGAGTCAACTTCATTTTATGATATTTTTAAATGTTTCAAGTTTTTCAATCAAATGAAAACAAATTTGTTTTTTTATATTTTATTCTGTCATCACTCTATTTATACAACAAGAACCAATAAATTAATTATACACATATAATTTAGTAAAAATTCAATCATATAGGTTAATCACTGATAGTACATTATTTTATCAATGATGATTTAACTTTTTTTTATAATATTTTATTATATTAAATTTTATCAATATGATTTTTAAAATAATAAGTTTTTATCATAGAAAACGAAGTTACTCCAAAATAATAAACACGTGTCTGTGACTAATATAACTCCAAAACTAATAACATCATTATAACTTACCAACTTTAAATGCAGGTTTGGAAGACATTTTTTTAAAAGAAATAACTATTATAAAATGATAGAAATAATTATAGAACTTGAATTATAGATAAACGATTGATAAACAAATCTTATATGTTTCCACCGGCAAGCTGCAGTATAACTACTTTTAGGAAACATGTTACAATCTTATTTTAACAAACTCCGCTAGGGATCGTAACTATTTATTGATCACGTGAGTAAGTTTTGAATTTTAGCGGGAAAATAAAATATTTATTAAAATATAAACATAAATAAAATATTATTAAAATATAAACATTTTTATAAAAAGAAAAAAAGGAATAAATATAAAAATACAATACATAAATTATTATATTTATTAATAAATTACTTCTAAGATTAATAAATTTAATAAAAATAATTTATATTATAATATTGTAACAACATATTTTAGGAATATTTTAGAATATTACAAATAATGGAAAATTAAATGTGATAAATGAATTTTCGATATTGTCATTTTTTAATAAAATAATTAAAAATTTTTTTCTATTTATTGCTGGATCAAACTTTCGTTTATATATTTCAACACAAACGAAATCGTATCAAAACACTTGCATTAATTATCAGAGAATATTTTACAAGATTATTATCCAAAGATACATCATAAAAACTAGAATATATTTATTTTTTTTATTTTAAAAATTAAGATATATTTCGAAACAAAAACGATGAAAGTATGACATCTCATATCTTAATCTATAATCGCATCAAAACTAAAGATAGACAAGGAAAGTAAATAGTGGAAGAAGAATAAAGATAGAATAAAAATTAGAGAATCAGCGCCATCTTTAGAGTGCCGCAAATGAAACTCAATATGTCAATAAATAAATAAGAATTAACTATCAATGCCATCTCTTGAATGCTAAAAATATCTCTTTTTAGATAGGATAAGTTAGAATAAGAATTGAGACTCAACGCCATCTCTTAAGTACTTTCAAAAACATTAATTCTTCGAAGTTGTTTCTAATAATCAAAAGATGATGCTGAAGGTCAATTCTAATTTGCTTTTCTTGTCTACTATGAGTTTCATTTTCGGCACTCTACAGATGGCGCTAATTCCCTAATTTTTACTTTATCTCTGTCCTTCTTTCATTATCTATTCTCCTTATTTATCGTTATTCCGCAAACTCATTTTTAAAGAAACGATTCCGATCCAAATGAATCTTTTTCCTTAATTTCTATCGTTTAAAAATTCTACATATATCGTTTAAAAATTCCACATATATATCGAAATTTAATTATTAATAATTTGATAAGGAATATAACAAATATGATTAGTTTCATCCCATGGCCAAAAAATTATAATCCAGATCAGCGAAAGTTGTCCCATCTTGAAGCATTTGTCTACGAAACTCTTTAGCCTCTTTCTTTTCATCGTATAACACTGGATCCTTGTCGATTCGTATCAAATTAGGCAACATAGCCAAAATAATTTGCCTATAAGCAGCTTCCTCTTCCATTTCTCTCTCGCCTATCACGGGATTCTCCATAACGATCAGCGTTTCCAATGCCGGCAAGCAGCTTAATTTTTCCAACTCAGAAATTTTTGTTATCTCGTTGTTTCGTAGATTCAGATAATTAAGTTTGGCGCATCGCGCGTCAAATCCGGACAGATTCGATATCTTGTTGCTTCTCAGATGTAGAATTTTCAAATTGACCAATATCTCTAATCCTTCCAACCTCTCTATTTGATTCTCCCCTAGATACAATCGTATCAATCCTGGAAAGAATATACCGCTCGTCGTGGTAAGAATGTTTCCACCGATTTCAAGAGTCTTCAAGTTCTCGAGATCGTACGGGTTCAAAGTGATCTCCTCTATGTTATTGTGATTCAATTCCAGACATTCGAGAGACATGTGGGAGATTCCCGATGTGCTGTTCAATTTGTTATTGTTCAATGTTAAAACCTATAAAGTAAAGTAGAGAGAAAAAAAAAAAAAGAAAAAAAAAAAGTAATTCTATATTTGCGCGCGAGATGAAAAATTATTTCTTTTTTTTTTTTTTTTCTTTTAATGAAAAGATTTATTATATGTGATTATTATATATATGATTTATATATCAACCTGAAGATAAGGCATGGGATCCAATTCTGCGGATTCCACCTGATTTTTATCAGCTTGAAGCATCAGAAGATATTTCATGGACGAGAGAACGCGAAGAGCCTCGTTAGTCAATCTATTTCCGGAGACGTTCACGTAGAGCACGTATTTGAACATAGGTATAATCCTTATGTCCGTCAGATCTCTGTTGGACGCGTTCAGGCCGAGATAAGCGTAGCCAAGCCCGGATTCGCATTTTCCCAACGTGTGAAGGCACTCACCGGCCTCCGTCTGTGTCAAAACATTTGTTACATCCTCGAAGGTGGATGGCAATGGTTCGATATACAAGTCGTCGGCCTCTCCCTTTTCCTCCTCTTCCCCCTCCATTTCGATCAAATTTTTCCCTTCCTTCGTTAAGAGGAAAACGGATATTATTTATTAATAATTAACCTTTTCTTTTCCCTTTTTCACGATCGTAGGTAAGCTTTTAGAACAGAGGATAAAAGATTCTCGTTCATTTGTTTTTTCGCCGATAAACGAAAATAAAAAAAAATAGAGAAACAAATCGCGAGCGAACGAATTTATTTTCGTATGTGGTATAATAAAATTCGAGATGAAGAAAATGATAGAAAAAATATTAACGGGTTCTGATACACTTCGTTTCGTCATCCCATTTCAGCCTGTAACTCCTCTCGATGGGTTTTTTTCGATTCATTATGTCACGCAACTTCTTCAGAAGGATGAAATTCTCCCTCATAATACGATATTGCTTCTCGCGTTCCAATTGCAATCCTTTCGCGTTGAGAACCACGTGAGGCCTGCTTTTCGGTGGGTCCACGTCGATCGCGTGAGTGGCTCTCTTCACCTGGAAAATTTTTTAATTATTTTTATCGCGTTCAAAGAAACGCGAACGAGGTATATGGTCGAACGAGTTTTGTTTACGTTTGAACGATGTCGCTCGTAATCTTCGGGCCTCCACATCGACGACATTATTATTATTAACCTTCAGGCGGAAAAAACTCGTCCCCATAAACGTTTACGACCGACTCGAGTTCGCCCGTTGTTTGCTTTACCAACTTTACTCGTCGCGAGTATCGATCAAACTAACTTCGTTTCGTTTCGTTTCGCCGAGTTTCCGACGAGGCGCTATTTCCCTTGAATTACAATATTACCCTTCTCGCTTATTTTTATTTATCTTATATAATAATAATAATAATAATAATAATAATAAAATATCATTCGACATATTTTTTTTTTCTAAAATTTCTCAAATAAAACCTATATTAAAATTTGGGATTAAAAAAAATTTTCGAAACGATTGTTGTTCGAACGCGAAATGGAAAAATCTAATATTATCCCCGTACGCGTTTGAGCAGGATAATTATCATCATCGAAAATATTGTTACGAGGAGAGAAACTTCTCGTTGCTTCCACCGTTACGAAAGGGTAACGCACGTGTGTGCGGTATATGCGCGCATATGTGTATGTGTGTTATGCACTGCTACGATATTCCCCGGCAGGGGAAACGGGATTGGCGGGCGAGACGGACCAATCGCTTTGCACGAGGGGCGGGGTGAATCCAATGCGGACGCGTGTTATTTTTTCTCTTCCCCTCCTCCCCCCAGCCACCCCATTTCATCGCGACTTCGCGGCGTAAATGCACGCGTGAAATTAATTTCGCCGTGCTTGGCATTCATGGCGACGATGCAGCCGACTGTCCGTGACGCGGAGGGATCGAAACCGGGCACGGCGACGGGATTAAATCGAATCTCGCCAACCTCGATGGATCCCTTTCTATACATAGGCGAAGATATAAAGCACTTACATTCGAGAGAAATTTTATTATTATCGGAGAAGGGAATAATTGTGATCGTTTTTATTTTATTTAATCGAATTGAATGTGAAATATTATTAGATTTTTAAATTTTTACGACTTTGTGTAACGGTGAACTAAACGGTGTTAAATTGTTTTATTGATGGTTCAGGTAAGAATTGTTTCTTGAAAAATCATTGTTTATTGCTCCATCCAGGGCACATCACAATCTTCGAAAATTTCAAATATTGGGGCAATAAACCCCTAATAAACCGTTTCTGGGACTGGATTTAAGGGATAAAACTGGGCAATAAAACTATAAAGCTAAATATAAGCTAAACCTTGGAAAACAAACGGATCATAAAAATATTTCGAGCAATAGACAATATTCGACCTTTCTTTTTTCACTCAAATTTTCCAAAATTTACAACTCCACGAGATCCTTGTAAATCAATTGTAAAATCCTACATTCTAAAACATTGTCTCCAAACTTTCAAAAGTAATCTTTCGAAAAATATTAAATATATACATCGGAGGAAAGGAAAACGAAACAATGAGAAGAAATTCAAAAATTGAACATCTTAGTTTCGTTTTTTAAAATTTTTTAAAATTTCGTTACTTTTATCGATTTGAAGAATGGGGAGGGAAACTGTCGCTGCGAAACACGAAAAAAAAGAAAGAAACAGAAGAGATAATGATGAAGCAAGAAGCGTGTATATCCTGTGACACGGATCGTGCAAAGGATCGTCGATCTTAATCGCGGATCCTCGACAATGATCCTCTCAAACGGATGAGCCACTCGAGCAACGATGAAGATCTCTTCCCTCGAGGGGATACACGGTGTTTCGAATAGGGACCCCCTGACACGTATTTCCCATATATACGGGGGATGCGGAACCAATCCCTGCACTCACCGATCCTGATACAGTATATTACATTATCCTCCACTCTTTTTGCCTCGCCCATCCTTTTTGATCCTTGCCTCCGACTCGGCGGGATTCGCTTTCATCGAGCGACCAGCTGAACGCTAGTTTTCCCCTTTTCCCAATGTTATTGCTATTATTATTGTTATTTTTCTTTTTTTTTTTTTTCCTTTTTTTTCCTCTTGGTGGACGAAGGATTTCGATGAGAATGAAGAATGGGAAAAATAGATTTTGACGTTAAATCGAGTAGAGTTTAATGTTGAAGGAATTTGATTTTGATTTGATATTTGGTGCACAACAATTTGATTAAACGCTTGAAAAATCTTATTATCAGAATTTTCAAGCTTTTGATTGTTCATTACTTTGGAATGCCAAGTTTAGATTAAAATTAAAAAAATAATAATAAATCGAAAATCTATTTTCGCTATTTATTTACGGAATTTTTTAAAATCAAAGCATCGATATTTTATTTTATTTGCCAAATCACGTCGATGTTTTACAACGTTTCTCGGAAAAGATTAATAAAATCAATAAATAACGATATTAAACGAAATATTTTGTACAATTTTAATGAGACGAATCATTTTAATCACGAAGGTTAAATTTGCAATGCCTGTATAAAATTCGTCATTAATCGATCCCCGGCTAAAACATTGTATGCCTGGTAAATTAACGTGCGAGAGAATTCTCGAGGCAACAACTTACCGCAACAACGGTTGTAAAATTCCGGTTGTAACGAAATTTCAGTCACCCCGTAACGGTAACGTTTCTCTGGCAGCAGGATGAATTTCGCGACGATGACGCTGGGCTTGGCCCCCACCATTTCTCCTCCTCGCGGGCTCATCCTCCTCGCGATTCGAACGTGGATACGGTAGGGAGAGGGAGGCGGATCGGTAGGCGTGGCCTGGCTCGGGACGAGAAAGATCGAAATTCTGCCGCGAGTTCGCGTCTCTCGTTAGTCTCCACTGAGACGCCGCACGGTGCAGTTGATACTCGCGTAATTCGGCGCTCGGTGCAAATTCCGATTTATTATATATTCTTGTGAAATCGTCCAATCGAGTCCATACCGTACCATTGCGAGAACGGAAGAGCAGTGCCAACAAACTAGAAACGTGTCCCTAGATTGGATCGATCTTCCAAACGATCTTTGATTTTTTTTTTTTTTTTGCTCATTCGTTCCTCGAACGATACCCCGTGCAAAATGATGCACACTATGAGCGAACACACCGGTGGCACTGGAGGATTGGGCGTCAGCGTGCTCCCATTCGATGGGATGGGATTGTTCGAGCAACAACGGCCCAGATTCCTCTTCAAGATGCCTAAGGTGGTACCCAATCAGAAGGCCAAGTTTGAAACTGAGGAGTTATTTAGGAGGCTGAGTCGCGAGAGCGAGGTAAGAATTATTTTAAATAACGAATTTAAATTAGATTTTTTTTTTTTTTTTTTTTGATCTAGTTTTCGTTCTAGTCAAATGATATATATTTCATATATCTATATTAATTCGTTCAAGTAATTCGTACACATATAATAATCGTTTGTACGTATCGTTCTGTTTATAAATATCGTTTCGAAGCTGTATTGTTCCACGATCGTTCGAAATATTTTTTTTTTTCTTCACCCATACGAATCACCGACATTAAACGAAACTTTCGAACGAAAGTTACGAGGAAAGGAATTTAATTAATTCGGATCGAAGATTCGTGCGTTGGAACGCTCGTTTCAATGGAATATCGTTTCTTTGAATTTCACGCGTCCCTCGTTCCGCTCGCGAAAATTAATTCGCGCCGTCGATTTCAATTCCTTCCGACGGATCGATCTCGATGGAATCGATCATCGAATTCATCACGCGTCGATCCATCCCAAATCGGGTCAAATTTTTTTTGCTATAATTCGAAAATTGTAAAACATTTCTTTTTTTTTTTTTTCCCTCCCTAAACTTGTACAGGTCAGATACACCGGCTACCGAGATAGACCAGTCGAGGAACGCCAAGTGCGCTTTCAAAATGGTTGCCGGGAAGGTTATACGGAGATCGCGTTCGCTGCGACGGGCACCAATCTCCAGCTAGTTTTCGGCAACGCGTCCGGAAATTACGGCGGCGACATAAATGATTGCGATTTTGAGAAGGAGCGCGGCAAGGTAAGTGAAAAAAACATCCTTATATTTCTTCTAAAACAAAGTTTCGATATTCACAAATTGTTGTTGACCGATATTGCCTTCTAGTTATTCGATATCATGAAAAATTCATCATCAAAATTCGTTGAATCGAATGAAATTCCTCGAAAATATTATACAGGGATTATAGAATTAACGCGGTTCGATCCATGTTTACAATTAATCCAAGTTTGAATGATGGTTGTTTGTTTCACTCTAATTGGTGAATTGCGGTCGACAAATGAGGGAAGAGCTCGGACAGGATACGGTATACAGTTTTTCGTGTCCTTGGGCATCGTATGTCCAAGGGGTGTCGTTGGTGCTGGCGGGCGGACAATTTAGTATCCGTTTCTACCTCTCGAACAATGGTGTCACCGTGTCTCGGCGAAGAAGACATCGAGAGACATCCGGTCTCCCAAATTTTCTCTATCCCTGCGGGTGGTGAACGAGATTTACAGCGTAACGACAGCGCCTCTAGACCTTTAGGCCTTTATCATTTTTATTTTTTACGGATCGAATCGAATCGAAATTAATTTAAAAACGAGTGCCTGGCAAAATTGAAAAATACTTTCCAGATTATTCGAGATATTTGTTTATCTTTTTTTTTTTTCGCAATCTATTAATATTCTTCTATTCAACGATCTTCAAACCGACTTTTCCCTTTAAACTCGACTTAACAGGAGTTGTATTCGTTGTACGTCGGCGCAAAGGAAGAGGGGCGTCGCCATCGCGATCGATATGAGCGTCGCGAATCCGCCATTTTCTAAAGAAGCACGCGTTAATAATAATAATAATTCCCTTTTTCACGATCTAATCGTCTTTTTCTTATTAAAAATCGAGGAGGAGGAGGAGGAAAATTTTAGAAATAGAAAAAAAGAAGGGAAATACATTCGGAATATTTTTCGTTTAAAAATCTTCTCGAGATTGAAATGGTGCAAGTTTTTAGAAATTGGAAGGAGAAGGTCCTATTAACAGCTACTAGCGAGCCAATTAGCGTTTTTCGAAATCCGTCAAACAAGGCGGGACTCTGTGCCAGATGCGTAGATGCTTCACAAGTCACCCGGTACATAATGGGTCATAAATCTTGCTCTACCTCTCTTAGGATCTTCCGAAGGGTGTGCGCAATGTTCTCTCCGGTTGAATTCTTTAACCAAAGTTTCGACTTTGGAGAAATTGGAACCTAGTTTCTTTTTTTCTTCTGTCTTCTTTAAAATCTCAAAATATCTCCCTGCAATAAATACGGATTCCAAATTGATCCAATATCGAATCCAATGTTAAAAAGAATTAAAAAAAAAGAAAAAGAATCAAATAAACCATTAAATTAATTTAAATTTGAACGCGCGAAATATATAAAAATTCGAAAGATAAGAACAAAATTATCGAGTTTGCAAATAAACTAATTTAAACCTGAACGCGCGAAATATATAAAATAAATATATATAATATAAATAATAATAATAATAAAAATTCGAAAGATAAGAACGAAATGATCGAGCGAGAAAAAGAATCAAGCTTACAAATAAACCATTAAACTAATTTAAACCTGAACGCGCAGAATACGTAAAATAAAAATACACACAAAAACTCGAAAGATAAGAACGAAACGATCGAGTTTAAACCGAGCAAGAAAAGAAAAAGAAAAAGAATCGAGTTTGCAAATAAACCATTAACATAATTTAAACTTGAACGCGCGAAATACATAAAAATTCTAAAAATAAGAACGAAAGTATCGAGTTTGCAAATAAACCATTAACGTAATTTGAACGCGCGGAATACATAAAATAAGTACACACAAAAACTCGAAAGATAAGAACGAAATGATCGTGTTTAACCGAGCAAGAAAGAGCAAGAGTGAAATGAGCAGGAGAGGCTGTTCGATAAGATCAACGAGAGAGGAACTTGGATCCCTTTTCACTTCGCAGCTCTTTACCTCGGCCTCTATCTCGCTCGCGAATCTCTCTGCCCTTAATTATTTCCTCTCGGCGGGGAACGAGCGCGAGACAATGACGGTGGACACGTGCAGCCGTGCGTCGGCTCTTTATTACGCCTCCCCCTCCTTCATTGTCCGATTAAAACAAAACCCGCGCGGTGGCCGCGGGTCGCCGTCGTGTAAACAACCAACGTCTCCTTTCCCTTTTATTTCGAGCATGGAAAAAAAAAAGAAGAAGAAGAGAGAAAGAAATAAACGATTCGTTAACCGCTTAGATTCTTCTCTCCCCTTATATCGGGATATATGATTCACGAATTTCCAAGTTTTGTCGCGCTATTGTCACGAATTTTAAGATTTTAGAGATAGATTTTAGAAATGGCGAATTTCATCCGTTTACTAATAACTGCTGATTTTAAACCGAGCTCGGTTTCGCTAAAAATATAAATCCTGAGAACTGTTGTTATTACGGTTCCTCGAACAGGGAAGGAGGGGGAGGGGGAGTCCATTCTCTTCTCTACCAATCGTAAAATCTTTTCACGAGGTAAAGAGAGGCCGATCGAAAAAAAAAAAAAAGGGAATATCTTTTTCACAACATCATAGCTTCTACAACATCTTTCAAAGTGTCTCAAATTCTATTCGCTCGCGCGATAATAGAAAAAAAAAAGAGAGAAGTTTCGAAATTATCGATTTGATATTCGAAGAAATGTTCTCTTATGTTTATGCACTCGATGCTGACCCTCGCACCGTTGACGAATGAATGCCTCGTCCATTGTGGACGCCGTTTGGCGAAAAGGCGAAGCGGCACCGCCTACCGAAAAACAAAAGAGCCGTCCAAATAGCTAGCCGTTTGTCTCGTAGCATTTTTAGTCCATACCAGTCATCGTTCCACCCTTTCCCGATTTTTCATACCCCTTTCGTTCCACCGGTTCGACGTTACATCTTGTTTTTTCCCCCTCCCCTTCTCTCTCGACTTTCTCCATTCTCTCTCCATCCATTTTCCTCTCTCTCTCTCTCTCTCTCTCTCTCTCTCTCTCTCTCTCTCTCGTTTCTATTATTCATCGTGAGCAACATGCAAATAAGCGGCGAAAGGGTTGCACGGTGGAAAAAGTCGTGAACGAGACACGCGTTACAGTTTAAATATCGCCGTCCTATTATTCCTGGCGATAATGGGTCGGTCACGCCCCTGGCGAGCGAAAGGTGTCGAATGGATTTTTTGATATTTTTTTTTCTTCTCTCTCTCTTTTAAACCACGCGTGAGGTTCGCGTGAGAAAAATTAACGATGATTAAACGGTTCTTTTACTTATGCGTTCTCTCTCTTTCGTTTGTATTATTTGTTGTATAACGCGGAGAGGAATTCTCGGATCGATTTTCCGCGAGAATTCGTAGAAAAAAAGAGAAGGGAGAGGAGAGATCTTTCCAGTTGGAAAATTTTAGAATTTGAATTTTAAAAATGAAGTCTCTTGGAGGAAAGATTTATAATGAAATGCAGGAGGAACGTGAATCAATCGAATACCTGTACTTCCCCATTACGTCACGCGTTTCACGAATCGCTCGACTCGATTTGTAAGCAGACCGCTATCCGATCTTCCATCTTTTCTATCCTTCTTTTTCTTTATCTTCTCTTTCTCTTTCTTTCTAATTTAACGTTTCGTCACGATTACGATCGAAGGTAATACGAGATATTTTTCCGCATTCGTAGGGGAAATTTTTGTTCGAAATTGCAGAGTAATTTGGAGGCTGTTTTTTTTTGGAGAAAAGGTAAAACCATTCGATTAACGAATTCGAATCGAAGGCCGAATCCACCACCCGCTGCTCGCTCCCGTGGCTCGGATTTATGATGATGCGTAAAAAGGGAATCACGCTGGGCGGCCACATTGTTACATCGCGGCGTCGACAACCAGCTGTGTGTCGCGATGAAAGAGGGAAAACACGAGATTCTCGCTTCCAAAATTCACGATCCACGATCTTTCTCGCCTCCCAAAATTCCTTATTTATCGCGCTCCTTTCAATCGATCGACAAAATATCGATCGACGATCTCTCGTTCGAGAATATTTCGTGAAACGGGGAAAGGGTTGCCGATCATTCACGGTTTATCTCTTTGAAAACGGAAAGATGGAGGAACAGGTGATAGAATTTCTTCTCGAAGATGGAATTTCCTCTCCACCATAAAACGAAGATGGGCGGCTTGGATTCCGTAACAGTTTCTAAATTTTGAACGCGGCCGGAAACGGGATCATTTGCCAGGAAATAAAATAACCCTGTTGAGCCAGAGGCAAGAGAGATAATTGACCGTTTCGAGTTTTTCGAGGGCCCAAGGATCGACCATATATATATATATATATAATATCTTCACCGTTTGTCGGTCAACCCGTCTCGAGCCATAAAATCTTTTCACAAAAATCGTTCTACTTATCCTTGATGTTCGTATTAAACATTTTCCTCGAGATTCGAAATAAATTTAAATACAATAATTCCAGAAAAATTATTTCTGTTTTTTCATCTAGAAAGAGAGAGAGAGAGAGACTTCTCTCTCTCTCTCTCTCTCTCTCTCTCTCTCTCTCTCTCTCTCTCTAGCCATCGTCGACCTCGCAATTTCACCTCTCCTCGACGCTTGTACCTTCCAATCTGCGTAATCGTTCTCTGGAAATAAGAAACGTTCGTGGCGCGAGACGAGGGGGAGGAGGGAGGGGAGAAGGAAACATGATTGAAAGTCGAAGGCGGACCGTCAGGCCTTAATGGACCCGCTCCAGGATGCACGAGGAAAAGGAGCAGTGCCTGATTTCTTGCTACATCCAGATATTACAACGACCGTTCCCCAATAACGCTTTTAACCCTTTCGCCACTATAGTCGCTCTCCATTAATATACTATAACCGACTATAGTCGCTCTGCATAAGATGCCATTGATATGACTGACTATAGTGGCGAATAGTCATTCTCCATAAAGTACCATTGACGACTCTCCATTAATAACACTATAGTCGCTCTGCATAAGATGCCATTGATATATTATGACTGATTATAGTCGCTTTCCATAAAGTGCCATTGACGTGCTAAAGGCGATTATAGTCGTTCTCTATAAAGTGCCATTGACATCCTACAGATGACTATAATCGCTCTCCATTAATATACTATAACCGACTATAGTTGCTGTGCATAAGATTGATATACTATGATTGACTATAATCGCTCTCCATAAAGTGTCATTGACATGCTACAGGCGACTATAATCGCTCTATATAGATACCATTGATATATTATGGACAATTATAGTCACTCTGCGTATATAATATGAGCGACTATAATTGCTCTACATAAAATACCATTGACTGACTATACTATGACTGACTATAACTGACTATAATCGTTCTCCATAAAATGTTATTGACGTCCTACAGGCGACTATAATCTCTCCATAAAATACCAATACCATTGATATATCATGGGCGACTATAATCACTCTATATAAATGCTATACTAATATATATAAATAATATCATTATATATCTATATAAATAATATATTATGGACAACTATAGTCGCTCTGCATATATATGGGCGACTATAATCGCTCTACATAAAATACCATTGATATACTATACTATGATTATAGTCATTTTCCATAAAGTGCCATCCTACAGATGACTACAATCGCTCTCCATAAAATACCAATACCATTGATATACTATGGGCAATTATAGTCGCTCTGCATATATACTATGGGCGACTATAATCGCTCTATATAAAATATTATTAATATACTATGACTGACTATAGTCGCTCTTCATAAAATACCAATATCATTGATACACCATGGGCGACTATAGTCGCCATGCGCAAGATGCGTATTGTAGATATGATGAGCAATTGTGTATCTTCCTCTGGAAACATAGCATCAGTATTTTTATCACGAGATTGTTCATGAAAAATATTCCTCGCGTACGTATTCAAGTAACGTCCGATTGTCAATGAATGATAAAAATCACCAAAAAAAAAAAAATGCTGACGATCTTTCTCGAGTACTGTTTAGCAGCGAAAGGGTTACTTATCGTTCTCGAAAAGGACGGAAAGAAAGCTCGTCCTATTATCCTATTTTAAAATGTTTAATTTCCAAAAAGAGAAGCAATATATAATGTATAATAATACTTATGCACGATTCTCGTCCTCGAGATACATCCCCCCCTTCGAATCGTTCCCCACCACGTCCAGCCGTGGTCAAGCACGACCGTTCTGTTTCCAGGTACACCTGAGATCCCGGCTGATCATGAACGGCGTGTGCGTGATGTGGCGCGGATGGATCGATCTCGAGAGGTTGGACGGCGTCGGTTGTCTCGAGTATGACGAGAAACGCGCCGCCGAAGAGGACGCCCTACTCCGGGACCAGCTCGAGCGTTACAACCAACGCGTGCGCGATTTTGACGAGAAGCAACGGGCTTACAGGAGCTCGGCCGCACAGCCGCCACACTTGAACCACCATCACCACCACCATCATCACCACGGTCATCACGGCCACCACGTGACGGGGGCAGCGGCGGGGACTACGGGCACCATCGAGGCCACCCACCTCACCCACCGCCAGGATCCAGAGATGGAGGTGAGGCTGAGGGCTTACTGAGGCAGCGAGAAGGCCGCCACCACCGAGACCAGTTGAGCTCTTTTCAATCTGGGAGCGACACTCCGCTTCCTCGAGGAGAAAAAAAAGAAGAGGAAGAGGAAGAGGAAGAGGAGGGACGAAGAGTCGCGAGAGGAGAAGAGAGGAATATTTGAACGACGATTCGTTCGGATGGATGGATGGATGGATCTGTGGGCAGATGTCTGTGATGAGAGAAGAATGATCGTTTTATTCATTATATGTATATTGTTTCTTGAATTTTGATTCATTTTTTTTTTTTCAAGTAGATTCGATAAAGGAATCTTAAAATTATTTAAAATTTATTTAAATTATTTTTGGGGGAAATTGGTGGGTATATTATTTAATTTCTAATTCGAATTCTGTAATTCCATTTATTATTTTCGGAATACGATACGAATTAATGTAATTCTATATATTGGAGAGAGAGAAAAAAAAAAGGAAAATCTTATCTCGTTTATTTACGAAAATAAACTATATCGAAATCTTCGTAACTCCGATCGTTCCTTTCTATCGTGGCTTCCGTGTATCGTCCCTCCCCTTCCCCCTTCCAAACAAAGAGTTTTATAATGTGATCGACATCACGCGTACGATTCAAGTGACGCTCGATCGTCAATGTATGATCAATGATCAGCGATCGTTAGAATTTAAGCGACGTGTTCGTTATCGTCATTGAACGAGAAATACTACTCGTAAATATCGTAATACACGTAAACCGCAACCGCCGAATTTCTTATGTACAATTAACGATAATAAGGATCGCATCGTGTAGCATGTAAGGAACGAATTCGTTCGTTTTTTTTTTTTTTTTTAATATTTTTTCATTACAAAATTCGTTGAAAAATTATTCACGATGTTGCGTCCAATTATATATCATTATTCAAAACGAAGCGAGTAATCGCACTATTGCCGAGCTCAGAGAGTTCTTTCTATTCGATTCCATATATATATTATGTATATACACATATACATATATATGTATGTATTTCGTATTTTTGTTTTTCTCGTTGACGAAGATATATCGTACTAGGTGTAAGGATAATATCGTTAGATGAATGATGTACCTCGTTAACAGTAACAAACGTAAAGGAGAGAGAAGAGGATTAATCACGAACTTTACGATTGTTCCTGTCCTAATCGCATTCGTCAAGCCGTGCAACGAATTTTTTCCCCTCCCTTCCGACGAAGTTTTTTTTTTTTCTTTTTCTTTCCCCCCTCCTCCCTCCCCATCTGGAGAAAAGATAATGTCGCTCGAGTCTTGGCTCCGATTTTACATATCAGCGTATCAGAATCTGCGATCGATTCGATTCGATTCGATTCGATTCGAAACTTTCCTCGTTCTTATTTTTCAAACCAACTTTTATTGCCAATATTAATTAATATGGTAGAAAGATATAGATATATTGTTTATATATTCGATTAAGTAATACTAACAGAGTATGAAATATTCATTTTATTCTTACGATCCTTCCTAGTTGGTATTCAAACTCAATTAAATCGAATCATTCGTTTTTTCGTCAAAACGTGCAAATTAGATCGAATCATTTTATGCATTGTTCGTAATGCTTTACCCTCCTCCTCCCCTGCCCTACCCCATTTCCTTCGATTTAGAAGAAATTAGAAGAATAGGAAAGAAAAAAAAGAGGAGGATCACACGATTTTTTTTAACGAAAAAAAAAAAACGTCGATGCGAATTGGAATTTTCGGGAGGAGAGATATGGAAGAGAAATGGGAGGGCGTGCGTCATGTTTAACAAAAGAGGAGCATGATTCACATGGGGATTCCCCCCCTCCCTTCCCTTTCGGAATTCCTCGCGAGCGAGCGAGCGACCAAGATTTCGTTTCGTATTCGTCGAATATATATATATGCATAAGAGCGATGCCCGACGATCTCTTACGTTGCATTGTACATATTTGTAAAGAGTTAGGTTAATTTGTAACCAGGCGGCTTCTCCATTCCGGGATCGCGAACAGGGGAAAAAGCGGGAGAGAGAGAGAGAGAGAGAGAGAGAGAGAGAGAGAGAGAGAGAGAGAGAGAGAGAATGTGTGAGAGAGAGAGAGAACGTGAGAGATAACGCGCGGCGATCCTCGACGCCTCGACGATTGTATAAAGCTGTTTATCGATTAAACGTAATTTTCCGTCGAACAATCGTGTCCATTCCAATCGTTTTCATTCGTCTCCTTTCCTGTTTCCTCGATAAAAAATATCGATCGAATCTCTCATTTTGGAAAAAATAAATTGGAAAAATGGGGGAAAAATTATAAATTGATTCTTCTTTGCATAAATAATTAAAAGTAAGGATAATCGAGACATCACTGTAAAATTTTTGCTTTACCTTTCCCTGTAAATAACAGTTTCTCTTAGTCACCTGTTATCTCTCTATCTGCAACCTGTATCATCGTCCTTCGAAGAAAACTAAGAACACCGAGAGCGAACAATAATTCCAGAAAAGAAATTCTGGAAAAATCCTCCGAGAAACAAGAGAGAAAGGGAGAAGAAATTTGGTAAAAAGACACCGTATAAACGCACCAATAATAATTTTCTTTCTCGGGCAGGGAAAGAGAGAGAGAAAACTAAGTAACAATCGTTGGAAAGGTAACGAGTGTACAATTGAACGATCGAGGAGGAGAGACGATCGAACCGATACTCGACGTGCGTCGTGCGCGTACGAAGCGTGCGCGCATGCGCACCTACACCTATATACACCAACTATACGTGTTTACGACTAAGGGAGGGGAGCTCTGCGTCGGAGGGGTTATTTTCTGGAATAATGCCGTGGGCGTTCGGGCGTAGAAACGTACACGGGTATCGAGCACCGTTGATCCTATCAAATGGGAATCATCCGGAAATCACCCCCGGTAAATCTGCTTTTATTGTTTCCCAGCTAAATCGTCCCCCTTCCCCCATCCTTCGCAACATCGAATTCCTCCATTCCAAATTGGATATGCTATTGGATTATTTTCGGGATACTTGTCATTATGGAGGATAAAAGGACGTGTCTTTTTTTTCTTTTTAAATTGGTATAATGGATGATTGGATAATGGATGATAATGGAAGGGTCTCTCTCTCTTTCTCTCTTTTTCGAGTTGTTGAAATTTTTTAAAAAAGAGGAGAGAGGAGGGGGATAATTAAGAAGAGTATATCGGCTCGATGTAAGACGATAATGCGAGCGTCGGAATTCTTATAAGAAGCCTTACACGTGGAGAACCGATACGGGGGGAACGAGGACCGTTGTCACTTCCCACGAGCCACGAGATCGCGAAACCAACGGAAAATTGGTTACTCGTTCTCCGAGAAAGTGTGATCTGTCTATAAGAGATACATATTTTTATTCCTATTGGCGGAATGATTCTCGATTATAATCATTTGATAACAATTATTCAGGATGGAAGAAAGTGAATAAATGATGAATTAAAAGAAGCGTAAACGTACAATATAATAATCCCTGGGATCTCGATGATTAAGCTTCGATATAAATTTAATTAATAACGTTATTATTTAATAAGATCGTGAATTAGAAAAAAAATTTTCGAAATATAAAATGATAATAATAATTTCAATGATGGATTTATCTATATAAAATTGTAATAAGGAAACTTCGATATAAATTTAATAAAACATTATTATCCGACAAGATCGTGAATTAAAACGAAAACTTTTGAATGATAACAATAATTTTGTGATCTTGATAATAATAAGATTTACAATCAAAAAGAAAATTGTCATTTGTTCCCGAAGAGACATACAAATGGGTTACTTTTATACCTGGCTGTTCCTCGAAAGAGCGTAAACATACAATTCCAATAATAATCCCCTTAATCTCGATGATTAAACTTCGACACAAATTTAATTAATAATTTATTATTATTCGATAAGATCGTGAATTAAAACTTTTGAAATATAAAATTCGATGATAACAACAATAATAATCGTGATCTTAATAACAATAAGATTTGCAAAAAAACAAAATTGTTCTTCTTGCAAGAAACTTACGAATAGATATACTTTTATAAAACGTACAATTCGAATGATAATCCCGATGATTAATGCGTAGTAAATACACTAATATAACAGATTATAAACAATTAATTTTTCAAAGGTTGTTGTTGGAAAAACTTTAATCCTCCGAATATTTGTCCCGAGTAAAGGGATCGTAAATAAATACCTGTATACCTGTGTGATGAGATTAACAACATAAAGAGGATCGGTCACGAGGAGAAACACGTTTAACACGTTTGCACGGAAACTGAAAAATGGTGGCGAAGGTATTTCGAGTGGAGGATCGATTTGGAAATAAATCAACGACGGAGCGGCAGGGTAACTTATGGACAGGAGCCGTGACTTTTTGCCTCCATTATGCAAAATCACGACACGATTTCCCGTCGAGAGTCACCCTCCCCCCCGCGCCACTCGAGGATGACCGAAATCGATGGTGGAAAGGAGATGGCCGGGGGCCCAGCAGTCATCAATTACGATTGGAAATAAATCGAAGGCAGATGCGACGGGGTGCCTACAGGGCAACCTCCCCCCTCGCCGATTTTTCTCACCCCCCGCCGACAATACGACTGTTTTCAACAAATACAAAACGATACACGAGACCGACCACCCCCTTCCATTTTATATATACACTCCCTTGGCACCCTCCTCGAATTCCTCGAGGCTCTTTGGATTTCTCTCTGATACGCTTTTCAAATTGATGCGTTTATGGATCCCTTTCTCGACTCGAGTCCCAGGTGAGAATAAATTAATAAAAGTAAAATTTTCTTCGAATGAATATATTGGAAGTAACACGAATCTTTTTCAGATTTAAGTAATATTTTTATTAATTCGGATATTTTTAATAGCTTGGAAGTGTTTATAATTTTTATTTAAATTAGGAAACTTGGAAATTCTATAATTTTGAACAATCATTGAGAAATTAAATTAATGTAAATAGAGAGAATAAATTAATAAATTTCGATTTTCGATCGAAATTTTTAGATCGAGAGTTAGTTTAATTTTTCTAAATAATTGCACGGAGCGGGCAATTTTATCGGAAGCACGTGGTTCCTGCGGGTTCCCTTTCAACTGGGCTCAATAAACAACACGACTGCGATTGCGACTGATTAAACGACGTAACGAGGCAACGATACCTCGTTTATCAACCGACCACAGGAAGTTGGTCGATAAGCCTTCCTCAGACGAAATGAGAATGTAAGAACGGAAACGAAAAACGCGTTAATATTCGCACTTATGATATATAATTTTCGAAAATAATCTTTCCGCCCTTTTCTATACACGACACGTTCGATAATTTCTCCGTTCAATAATTGTAACAAAAGG